TCTCTCTCTCTCTCTCTCTCTCTCTCTCTTTGACTCTCTCCATCTCCCTCCGTCTACCTCTCACCCTCGCTCTCGCTTACTCGCTCGCTTTTCCCTCTTTCAGTCGTTCTTGTTTAGCGCGCGCGCGTTTGGTCTTTCTTTTTTCTCCCTTCGCCTTGCGAGCTTTGTGGGCGCGTGAAGGACGCACAGCACCGCTTGCCGTTACGTACACTGCGATAATAACGTTTTTGAGCTCTGCTCTGCCCTTCTTTACTTGGATCTCCACTCTTCTCTTCTCTATTCGACGGGGTTATTCGACTTTGTTCTGTTATGCTCCGACTACATTCTCGCCAATATCTTTACTGATTTCAATTCTGCTTACGTTATTACAAATCCAGATTCTGTCTATAACTCTCTATCTCTCTCTCTATTTTCTCTTTATCACTCTATCTCAGAGTCTGTCTCTGTTGGATGCATTTGTGGGATGTATGCTAGTGAGGGAAGGAGCCGAAAGAAATTACGTCCACGTGAGATAGAGAACCAGAGAGGAAGAGAGAGAGAGAAAGTGCGGCTGTTGATGAGGAAGGATGAAAAAAGAACAATGAAAGAGATTATCGAAAGGGGAGGAATTGATGAGCTGGAATGTGTGTACAAGGCAGATGCCAAGTCCAGGGGTAAAGCGATGAACAGACAAAATGAATGTAGACAAAAAAAGAGGACAATAGGTTATGTAGATATACATGGATAGAAAGAGAGAGAAAGCACGTGCATATTAATAAAGCGAGAAGTTGAAGCGATGCGATGAAGAGCGAGAGAAAAAGAGAGCGATATATATATATATATATATATCGGAAGCTAGAGATGAAGAAAGTCGAACCTATGCGCCGACGCAACTAGAAATGACGTCACGAATTTTCGGTGCCTTCAAAATACGTATATAACACGCCTGAGACTTGACGTGGTATATTCCCTCTATAATTCTCTATCTCTCTCAACGTTTCTCACTTGCTTACTCCCGCTATCATTCTTCCCTAGCCTTTTCCTTTACCCGCCCGCGTCAATGCTGCGGCGCGCGCTTTGCCCACTTATAAGCTTTCTATACTTTTTCTATCACTCTCTCACACACGCACACACGCACACACACTCTCTCTCTCTCTCTCTCTCTCAATCGCTAGCATGCTTGCGTTCCTCTCTATTATTCGCGTTGCCGAGATATCCCCAAAGGGCCATACTCCACTTTGGTGTATATGATCACACAAGGCCAGAGACAGAGTGAGAGAGAGAGAGAGAGAGAGAGAGAGAGAGAGAGAGAAAGAGAGAAAGAGAGAAAGAGAGAAAGAGAGAGAAAGGATATTAAGCCCGAGAGCGCAAGAGCACAGATGTAAAACACTGGAATCTTCATCTTTATTCTTCTTACTATGCTCCCGATCTTTATCTACCTCTGTACACCAACAATGCCAACACTTTATCATTCGTTTTGTTTTGCGTGCATTTCCTTTTTTCAACTCTCATTGATGACGTGCATTGAACGCGATGTCGTGTTTACGTATGTCGTGAATGATACCCGAGCGGTAGTGATTTTCCTTTTTACCATGCCGCGCATTTTCGTTCCAACATTTTCCTATCATTGATTTTCATGTGTTTTCATTTTGAAATCCCATTACAGCTCCCATACAGCCTTTATTACGTTATTTCAACATAATTAATTAAGAAAGAGGAGGGCAGGGGTTGATCCCGCAGCTAAAAATAACTGTATAAGAGTACAGGATTATATTGGAAAAGAAAAGGAACGGACATACCGTTGCTCAAGTTACAAGGAGTGATAAAAGTCCGTTTAAAAATGATAATAAGATTGAATAAAACACC